GACCATGGGGGATGTAAAGTGTCCGTGGGAATCCTGGGATGGCCACGGGAGGAGCACTGTGCCAAGTCACCCTGGGGGGGACACTCCGAGACCACGGGGGATGTCACCCACCCCTGGGGGACACAGCACGGCCTTGGGAGCTGCGGGTGACGCGTGGCTGTGCCCGCAGTACGGGGCCGATGTGCGGGCACGGGATGGCCACGGCCGCACCGCGCTGTTCTACGCCCGCCGCGCCGGCAGCCGCGAGTGCGCCGACATCCTGCTGCAGCACGGCTGTCCCGGAGAGGGGCCCGGCAGCCCCTCGACCCCCGGCAGCCCCCCGACCCCCGGCCCCCCGACCCCCGGCGGCCCCCCGACCCCCGGGCCCCGCCGCCGCAGCAGCTGTGCCAGCGTGGGCCCCTGCGAGCCCCGGTCCGCCCTCGTATAGCCCCGAGGGCCCGGAGCCCCCCGGTGCCCCCGGCTGAGCGTGCCCGCAGCCCCGGGGTCATCCCGGTGCCACCCCCGGGGTCACCCCTTGCCCACGGTTTGTACTTTTGATGCTCTATTTATTATCCTTTCCGTGTCGGGGTCTCCGCTGGTCCTGTTCCCTTCTCCATGCCAGGGACCCCCGTGCCAGGAGTGATGCCACTGCCACCCAGGTGTCCCTTCCTGTCCCCTGCCCGGAGTATTGTGCCACAGCGTGGGGTGGGCACAGCTGGGATCGGGGTACTGAGGACGGGGTAACCCCTGCCCATGTCACCCCTGTCCCTGTCACCCCTGTCCATGTCACCCTGTCCCCTCTCCATTGCCCCCTGCTCACATCACCCTGCCCTACCGCCGTCCCCGTTCCCGCGTGCTGTGTCCCCCTCCCCATGTCACCTCCCCAGCCGCGCCCCCCTCTTCAAATCACCCTCCCCCTGCCACCCCCTGTGTCCCGCCCCCCGTGTCCCTGTCCCCGTGCCCACCCCGGCCATGCACCCCATGCCATGTCCGTGTCCCCGTGCCCCCCCCCGCCCTGGCACAGCCCCGGCTCGGTGGCAGGAGCAGAGCAGACCCCGACGCCCCTCCTTTTCTACAACAACCTTTTGTACGCCCCCTCCCCCTTTCCGTGGCCTGACACCCCCCCCACCGTGGCCCGACCTCCCCTCGCCCCCCGTTTCTCGGCGTCCCCTCGGGATCCCCGTTAATTTATTGCTTTGTTTAGCGATAGGATAGAGCCAGCCCCTCCCCCCCCGGGGGGGGGGCACAGCCGGCGGGACCCCCGACCCAATCCCGCCGGCCTGGGGGGGCCGCGTCCCCTCCCGGGACCCCCCATGAATGTAGGGGCGCCCCAGCTGTGACGCCCCCGACACGGCCCGGGGCTGAGCCAGGGACCCCCGGGCGGGGCCGGGCGGGGGGGCGGGAGGGGCCGGGGGTGGGCCAGGGCCGCCCGGGGGCCGCCCGGGGGTCCGGGGGTCCGGGGATCCGGGGGTCCGGGCCGTGTACAGTGTTTTCATCTCTCGGGTGTAACTGTAAGTACGTGACAATGTCGGACACTGGTGCTGTGACACGGTTCGTCCTTCCCGCGTGGGACACTGGGGTGGCACAGGGGACATGGAGAGCACGGGGGACAGGGGGGACACTGGGGTGGCACAGGGCACATGGAGAGCACGGGGGACAGGGGGGACACTGGGGTGGCACAGGGCACATGGAGAGCACGGGGGACAGGGGGGACACTGGGGTGGCACAGGGCACATGGAGAGCACGGGGGACAGGGGAGACACTGGGATGGCACAGGGCACATGGAGAGCACGCGTGGCACAGCGTGCAGAGGGCACAAGGGGTGTCGGTGGCACGGATGGCAGGTGACACGGGGTGCGGAGGGCATGACGGAGTGAGTGACACAATTACGGGGCGGTGGGGACACAGGGTGGGTGACACAGGGTGGCGTGAATGACAAGAGGTGGGGACATCACGAGATGTGTCATGCAGGGACAGGGGGTGGGTGACAGTGACACGCGGGGTGTCACAAGGCGGGCAGGGGAGAAGGTCGGGGTCCGGCCTCCGTGCAGGGCTGGAGGGCACTGGGGGGCACTGGAGGACACGGGGACACCGAGGGACACCGGGGACGCGCTGCTGGCCCGGCCCGTGCCCGGCCGGTCACCGCCTCCCCCGCACTGACCGGAACTGACGGGACTGGGCGGGGCCTATGATGGGCGTGGCTTGAATATTAACGAGGTGGGCGGGGGTCTGAGGGGGCGGTGTCCTGGTGACAATAAGGGGGCGTGTCCAACCAAACAGGCTGGGGGGCGTAATCTATATGCAAATAAGATGGGTGTGGCTTAGTGATAGGGCAATAGGGTGTGCCCGCGGTGTGGGCGGGGCTTAGCTGGGTGTGGCGCTAGGTGGGCGTGGCCTCAGGAACTGGGTGGAGCCAACAGCGCTGGACAGCGATGTCCGATGTCCGGAGACGTGGAGGGATCCCCGGGAGGGGCTGGGGAGGGGACAAGGCACGGGTCAGGGACACGGGGACACCAAACCCGACCTGTCCTGCGTGTCCCCAGCCTTGAGCAACCCCCGCCCTCATTGTCCCCTCCTCGTCCCCAGCCCCGTGCTCCCGTCACCACCCGCACGGTCCCAGAGGTGTCCCCAGCCACCCCCCCCTTCCCCCCGCTGTCCCTCCATTGCCACCAGCTCAGAGGTCCCCACAGTTGCAGGATCCGTCCTTGTCCCCAGCTCAGACACTGTCCCCTTGTCCCCTTGTCCCCCTGGCCCTCCCCCCACCGTGGGGTCCCCCCACTCAGGGTGACAGTGGGACCCACCCCCCCAGCTCTGTGTCTTGCTGAGACCCCCGGGCCCCCCCAGCCCCCCCCAAGCCCTCAGACCCGCTTTGCCCCCCGGATCAAGGCCACCATATCCTCGCAAAGCTCATTAACAGACACTAATTAGGGCCACGAGGGTCAGCCCGGGGGGCGTGGAAGATGGGGGGCGGGTCTCAGGGCATTTGTGATCCCTTGGGCAGGAATGAGGGGCGGCTGCCCTGCCGCCAGCCCCGCCTCCTCCCGTGTGCACCCCTGCAGGGACCCCCAAATTTGGAGCCTCCTTCACCCCCCAGCTCGGAAGGCACCGTCCCCATTCCTCTGTTCCCGACCCCCAGAATTCCCCCTCTGTGGCCACTGATCGCCCCCAGGCATTGGGGCAATCACTTGGGGGGGGTTCCAGGGGACATGACTCGGGGGGGGGGGGGCAGAGCTCGTGGAGGGGGCGGTGCCGCAGGGTCACGCGGGGAGGATCATGGGGACAACACGGACATAGGGGGGGCCACTGTCACCATGGGGGGACATTCTGAGGGGGGCCATGGACACAAATGGGGGGGGCCAGCACGGCCACACGGGTCACGGCCAGCTCAGACACAGAGGTAGGGACAAGGGACAGGAGGGGACAGGAGGGGACAGGAGGGGACAGTCCCCACAGAGAGACCTGGCACTGTCCCCACCTTGGGGTCCTGTCTGGGTCCCATCACCCACAGCCCCCCTCGAGCGCTGCCTCCATGGGACCCTCCCCATCCTCCCCCAGCTCCGTGTCCTCCCTGAACCCCTCCGATCCCTGCCCGGCCCCCCAAATCCCTGAGCCCCCGTCCCGCGATGCCCTGCCCCCCGGCACCCCCGGATCACGGCCATCCATTCCCTTCAAAGCTCATTAACAGACACTAATTAGGGTCACGCGGGTCCGCCGGGGAAGGGGGGTTGGGGTGGGCGCAGGACACGGGGAGGGCTCAGGGCATTTGGGGTCCCAGGGCAGGAATGGGGCTATGGGGGCCTCCCCTCTCCACTGTAGGAAACCCCCAAATTAGGGGCCATCCTCATCGCAGGGGGGCAGGGCTTGGGGACCCGGGTGGCTCCGGGTGGCGTTGGGGGGCGCGGGGGGGTCGGGGGGGCCCGTAGCGGGGTCTGTAGCCGTAGGGGCGCAGGCGCTGGCTCGGGTACTCCAGCGTGTACATCTCCTCCCCTGACACGTAGTGGAAGGACACGGCCAGGTCTGAGCAGCGCTGGGGACCCTGGGGGGACAGAGGGGGAGGCACTGGGCACCCCCAGTGCCCCCCACCCCATTGGTGCCACAGGGCAGGGTGGGGAAGGGGAGCTGGGGGCTGTCCCTGATCACCGGGGCAGGGGAAGGCACAGAGACCACGGGCACAAGGAGGGGACTCTGGTGACGGGGGGGCCACCAAGGATGGATTTTGGGCAAGGGGATCATAGTCATATGTTGGGGGCCATGGCCATAGGAGGGGGATCACGGGTGTGTGGGGAACACAGAGGCCACTATGGTCACACGTGGGGGATCTGTGGCCACGGTGGTCACATGTGGGGGACACGCTGGCCACACAGAGGGTGTGTAGCTGCACGGTGTAGGAACATCCTGGCCATGCCTGGGACCTCACGGGGATTTGGGGGGTGATGCCATGGCCATGTTGGCAAGACATGACAGCCAGGCATGGGGGTGACACGTGGCTGCACCTTGAGGGTGTCACGGCCGTGGGAGGTGGCCAGGGACCTGTGAGGGGAGTCATGGCCATGCACGGTGGGGACACCACTCTGGCTGTGTGTTACAGGCACAGATTGTGGGGGAAGGTGACACCCAAGGAGAGCTGTGGCCACTCACACAGGGAGATGGTGGCCACATATGGGGCTACTGAGGATACACATGTGGAGGTTGTGGCCATGCACAGGGGGGTCAGAGCCACTTGTGGGGGGACCACAACCACCCCAGCAGCTTCCCCCACCCCAGGCTGCAGTGACAGGGTGGTGGCCCCGGGCTGTGACCCACCTCCACGACAGGGTACCAGCAGTAACGCTGGTACCAGAAGTCCCGGGCGAAGCGCTGGGTGAGGTGGATCTCGGGCGGGAAGGGGTGGAAGGTCTCCCGGCCCCACGTGTCCCGTGAATCCCCCACGAGCACCCCCAGCCGCTCCAGGCTCTGCCCCAGCGCCGCGTCCTCCTCGGGGCCGGTGTGGCCGCGGGCCGGGGCTCCCCGGCCGAGCACTCGCCAGCCCCGCCGCTCGTGTAGCCCTGGCGAGTGAAGGGTCGGAAGCGCTTCCCGAGGGGCCGCTGGGGCGAGTGTGGGGCCAGCAGCCAGCGCAGGGTGTCCAGCACCACGAAGGTGTCGTCGTCGGCCTTGAGGGACCAGTCGGCGCGGGCGCGGTGGTGCCGCTGCACGAACTGCGGATGGTTTTGCTGTGGAGCTGCCCCCGGCCCTCGGGCACCCCCAGCCCCACGGGCGGGAAGTGGGGGGCGGGCTCGGAGGACGTTGCAGTGCCCTGCCCGAGTACCCCGCACGTGCCGGGCCTTGGTCTCCAGGTTTTGGGGCGCTGTCATCACCCAGCACAGCACCCGGACCCGCTGGAACAACCCCAGCGCCACCCCCGGTCCTCGCCTGGGGGAGAAGGGACCGCGCTGAGCACGGAGCGGAGTCCCCGATGTCCCCACAGTCAGGGTGTGGTCACTGTCCCAAATGAATGGAGCAGAGACCCCGATGTCCCCACGATCAGGGTGTGGTCACTGTCCCCCAATAAACGGAGCAGACACAGGGAGTGAGGCCACCCCATTCTCCTGCCAGCGCCATCCCCCCGCAGGCCCCCATGTCCCCCCCGGTGCCACCGCCATGGCAGCAGTGCCCACCTGCCGTGTCCGACGGGGCCACGCCGTAGAGCGCGGGGGATGAGGAGGTCCCGGGGGGGCTTTGCCCACCTGGGGGTCCCGGCTGGGGACAGGCACAGGCTGGGGCAGCAGGAGGACGCGGAGGAGGAGGTGATGAAGCCCACCAAGACGCCCCCGTGGAAAGGCAGCCAGGAGCTCTGCAGGCCCAGGAGCAACATGGGGACACCTGGCTTGTGTACGTGGGGGTCAGTGGGGACATCCCCCTGTCACTCAGCCCCTGCAGCTTGATCTGTCACTGCCACCAGCTGGGGTAAAGCCCATGGAAGGTGGGGAAAGGACTGGCGGAAAGGGGAGTGACACACACAGAGGGTGACACCCACGGGACACTAATGGCATCCCAGGCTGTCACCCCGAGGAGTGTCTGGGGGCTCATGGAGGGGAACACGGAACCTCTGCTTTTAGTTAAGGGGGGACAGGGGTAACTTCCTCCCCCCCTTGAGACCTCGGATTATCCTCAGCCCCTTGTGGCGGGTGGGGACAGTGGGGGTGAGGGGGTGAAGGACGGGGGGCACAACGGTGGGGAGGGGGCAGGTGGAGGAGTTGTGGCACGGGGGGTGCCGGCTGCGGCCTCACCAGGGTCGGGGATCCCGGTTCGGTCCGCGGGTCCCACGGTCTCTGTCGGTCCCCGGTTGGTTTGGGGGTCCTGGTGGCTCTGTTCGCCCTGGGGGTTCTGTGGGTACCAGCAGACCTGGGGGTCCCGGTGGCTCCATGGGTTCCTGCGAGTCCCGTCGGTGCCCGAGGCACCGCTGTCCCCGAAGGCTGTGGCGGTCCCGGTGTCACCGCTGTCCCCGAAGGCTGTGGTGGTCCCGGTCCGCTCGGGGGTCCCGGTGTCACCGCTGTCCCCGAGGGTCGTGGCGGTCCCGGTCCGCTCGGGGGTCCCGGTGTCACCGCTGTCCCCGAGGGTCGTGGCGGTCCCGGTCCGCTCGGGGGTCCCCGCGTGCCCCGCCCCCACTGGCGTTCCATTGGCCGAGGCCGGGCGAGCCCCGGGCCCCGCCCTGACTCTGATTGGCTGCCGGGCCCCTGACCCCGCCCCTCCCCACAATTTGGGGGGTGGGGGGGGCGCGATCCCCAGGACCCCGCGAGAGGTACCGGGTGGGGGGAGGGAGCGGTGTGTGAAGACCCCGGGACAGGGGGGACACAGACACAGCCCGGGGTGACCTCGGTTTATTGATTAAAAGGGGAGGGGGCAACGAGGCCGAACGACTTCGTTACATCTCATTATGAGAGAGTGAACCCCCCGGCACGGGGGGAGCACGAATGGCTCCAGCGGCAACAGGACCCCCCACCCAATCACACCCCCCCTCCCCAAACCTCCCACCCCCTAAATCACGGCCATTCCTCCCCTCCCCCCACCCCCCCCAGTTCATCCATGTCACAAATGTGCCCAAATGCCAGGGCAGGGTCCCCCCGGGGGGTCACAACGACCACCCCCAGCAGGGCAGGGGGGACACAGTGACCTCCCCCTCCCGGGTGGGGGATACCAGGGTCCTCGGTGTGTCCTGGACCCAGCCCCACAGCAGGGACAGAGCCACAATTCTGGAGGGACATTCAGCATTTGAGGGATGAGAATTTGAGGGATCAGAAGTCTTGGTCCTCAGAGTCAGCGGGCGGGGGGGGCTCGTCCCGACCCCCCCACACGAAGCGATAATTGTCCTCCAGTGCCTGCTGCCGCCGCCGCTCCTTCTGCGCCTCCTCCGTGCCCTGCACCTGGGGGGAGCAAAGCCGTGTCCCCTCACCTGTGTCCCCCTCATCTCAGTGTCCCCCTCACACCTCAGTGTCCTCCCTCCTCAGCTCCCCCGTGCCTGTGTCCTGCCCCCAGCCTCTCCCCCTCTGGGTCTCCCCGTGCCTCAGTTTCCCCCACAATCATCAGTGACACCCCCATCCCTCAGCGCCTCCATTCCCCAGCCCTGCCATGCCTCAGCCGCCTCCCTGGTTTTCCCCAAAATCACAAATCCCCCTCCTCCTGGGCCTCAGTCACGCCCCCCATCCCTCGGTGCCCCTCCCCGTGCCCCCCGCACCAGGATGCTGAGGAAAATCTCCTTCAGGCTCCGGGAATCTTCCTCCGACAGCCACTGCGCCGCCTCCTCCTCCTCGCCCCCCGACGACGCCGTCACGATCTTGATCTCGATTTTCCCTGGGGAGGGGGGTCCGGGGGGGGTTGATTTGGGGCAGGGGGGGCTCCCCCCTGCTGCCTCCCCCGGCCGGACCCCTCCCTACCTTCAGCCCGCAGCCCTTCCTTGGCCAGCAATGCCCGCACCTCGTTCTCCACCTGCGGCAGCTGCGGGGGGCTCTGGTTTTCCCGGGGGGGCTCCTGATCCTCTCGGGGGGGCTCCTGATCCTCCCGGGGGGGTTCCTGTTTCCCCTGGGGGGGTTCCCGGTCCTGGGACGTGTCGCGGTTCCCGACCCTGCTCATCCGAACCCGCACCCGCCCCTCGCCGGAGAGCCCGGGGCTGCCCTTCCTCTCGGCTCCTCCCTCCTCCTCCTCCTCTTCCTCCTCCTCCCTGTGCCCCCCGGGACCAGGACGGGGCTCGGGGGGGTCGTGGCGGGGCTCAGCCCTGTCCAGCCGGTCCATCAGCCGGGTCAGGGTGGACGCGAGGGTCCGGGTTGCACGGGTCCGGTCGAACTCCCCCTTCAGCCCCTCGGTCTCCAACTCATCCTCCACCTGCAGAAGGGTTAAAGGAGGGTTCCCTGGCCTGGCCAGCAGGTACCCAGAGCACCTGGGCACTCCCTGCCACAGAAAGGTGGTCCCCAGCCTGTCCCCACCTCTGCTGGGCAGCCCTGGCCCGGTCACAGAGTCCCCAGCACAGCCAAGGTATCCCAACCCTCCCGGCCCATCCAGGGGGGTTCCAGTGCCACTGTGGGGACCCCAGCCCAGCGAGGGGGGTCCCAGTGCACTGTGGGGACCCCAGCCCAGCCAGGGGGACCCCAGCCCAACCAAGGGTCCTCACCTCGCTGATGATGCTGTCAAACTCCTGCTCCATCTGGCTCTTCACCTCCTCCTTCAGCCTCGCCACCTGCTCCCGTGGCAGCAGCTCCAGCCCTGCCAGCAGCGGCCCTGCCTCCTCCTCTTCCTCCTCATCCTCATCCTCCTCCTCCTCCTCCCCCGCAGGGGGGGCCTCAGGGCCAGGCAGGGCCTCGGGGCTGGGGGACTCCGTGGGTCCAGGGGGGACTGGGGGAGCTTTTGCTGCTGCCTCCTCCTCCTCGCTCACCTTCTCCTTGGCCTGAGGCAGTGGGAAGGGGCTCAGGGGGAAACTGAGGCACGGAGAGGCCCGAGGGGCACGGGGGGGTCCCCACCTTCCTGGTGGTCTCCTTCAGCTCCTCGATGAATTGCAGCAGGTCCCCGGGGCTCCGGATCACCTTGAAGTGGATTTTCTTCCGTGGATCTATGAGGGAACCCAGAACAGGGGGCTGGGAGTGGCAGAGGGGTGCAGGGGGGGCATGGGGGACATGGGGTGGGCATGGAGGTGACACTGGGTGGACACCTCAGGACTCACCAGCTGCCCGAGCACCAGCTGCCCTCGGGGACGGCTCCTGCAGGGAGGAGACAGAGCAGGACTCTAAACCCCCACAAAGTGACCCCAACACACCCCAAGACCCCCAGAATGTCCCCAGGGCCACTGGGACTCACCCTGGTGCTGTCCCGCTGGTCACTGGCTGTGACTGTCACCTCCTGGTCCCCAGCTGTCACATCCTTGGCTGGGTCTGGCTGGTTCCCTGGCACAGGAGGGGACACAGCTGCCACAGCGGGGACATGCCTGGCACTGGGAGCTTTGAGCCCACAGGCCAGGGGTCCCAGAGGGAGAGGGGACACAGGCTGTGCTGTCACCATGAGGTGGGACAGGGGCCATACCATCCCGGGTGCCCTCAGGGGTCTGTGAGGGGGACTCGCTGTCCCTGTCACTCCACAGCCGCGTGTCCAGAGTCCGGAGCTCCTCCGAGATCTCCTCCACCTTCCTCTTGGTGTCAGCTGGGGACACAGGGGACAGGGACAGTGACAGCACAGCTGTGAGGGGACAAGCACAGCTCCACACTGCAGGGGACCATGGCAGTCCTGTGTTGGAGGGGACAAGGCCAGCCCTGGCACAGAGGGAACAGTGCCAGCCCCTGGACACAGGGGACAGGGCCAGGAAGTGACAGTGCCAGCCCTAGGATGGAGAGGACAGGGGCAGGCTGCAGAGAACAGTCCCAGGATGGAAGGACAGTGCCAGCCCTAGGATGGAGAGGACAGGGGCAGCTGGGGGATGAGGGGACAAGGCCAGGTGGGAGAAAACAGTGCCAGCCTCAAGATAAGAGGTGACAGGGGCAGCCTAAGAAAGAGGGGACAGGGCCAGGAAGGTGACAGGGTCAGCCCTAGGATGGAGAGGACAGGGGCAGGCTGCAGAGAACAGTGCCAGTCCTAGGCTGAAGGGGACGGTGCCAGCCCCAAGCTGACAAGGACAGTACCAGCCTCAGCCTGAAGGGGACGGTGCCAGACCCACACCAGGGCTCATTGCCAGCCCATGCCCAGCCCAGGGGTCCCCGATACTCACAGACTTGGGCACGCACGTACTGCACGTACTGGGCAGGTGACAGGGCAGGCTGGCAGCGGATGGGCTGCGGTGCCAGCCCCGGGGCCGGCCGCAGGAACGGGTGGTGGCAGATGCGCGTCGTGTGCACCGTCAGCACGTACGAGCACGACTGCGGCTCGTCCACGCGGGCGATGTAATCCCCAGCACCCTCCTCGCACAGGAACTGTGGGGACAGGCCTGGGGTGACACCCTGCTCTGCCCCACGTGTCCCCTGTGCTGTCCCCATGCCCCGTGCTGTCCTCTGTGCCCTGCAGTGTCCCTGATCCTTACCCGGACCTCGGCCTCGCGGGCACGCCCGGTGAGGTCACAGCGGGACCCGTTCACGTAGCTCTGGCTGTGGTAACGTCTCAGCTGGTGCTGCTTGGAGGCCTGGAGGGACAGGGACGGGCACGGGGTGGGCACGGGGACAGCCCTGTCCCTGCCACCCGCCTGCTGTCCCCAAGCTGGGGGGGGGGGGACACGGACCTTGGCTGTCTCATCGTCCCAGTCAAAGGCGGACTGGTAATAGCCCAGGACAAGGATGTCACCCTTGATCTCAGACTCTGTGGGGAGTGGGGACAGAGAGGGCAGATATTGGGGCGAGGGGGCCATCAGGGCCACTCTGTCCCTCCCCTGTCCCCACTGTCACCTTCCAGGTGGTACTGCTGGATGTGCCTCCCGTAGCAGAACTCGTACGTCCACCAGTCCTTGGTCTGGGAAGAGCGAGCAGAGGCCCCGGGTGAGGATGGGGGTGTCCCCTGCCAGCCCCCTGTGCCACCCCTGGCACTCCCCGGTCCCACCTTGAGCAGGCAGGGCGCTGTCCCCATGGGCCGCAGCAGCTCAGCCACACCAGAGCCGTTGTAGAGTCGGGGGTCCCGGGGGGGACCCGGGGGGGGCCCCACGGCCGCGGGGGGCAGGCGGCACTCGTAGCGCTGCTTGAACCTCGAGGCCACGGTCACCACGTCCTCAGCCTGGTGCTGGGGGGGGCACGGGGGTGTCAGTGCCCTGGGCACCCCCATGGGAACCCACAGCCCCCGGCAGGACACCCCAGACCCCCTAGGACTGTGAAGTCTCCCCCATTGGGAAGACCCCCCCCTCAGTACCCTCCAGTGACCCCACAGCCCCCCTGGTGACGCCACAGCCACCCCAGTGACCCCAAACTCCCCCGGTGACCCCACAGTCCCCCCGGTGACCCCACAGCCCCCTCCAGTGACCCCACAACTCCCCCAATGACCCCGCAGCCCACACAGTGACCCCAGACTCCCCCGGTGACCCCACAGCCCCCCTGTAAGGGTCGGTCCGAAGTTTCCCTGGATTTTGGCTCTGTATTAATAGCGGATCGTGACACGCCCCCAGTGACTCCACAGCCCCCCTGGTGACCCCAAACTCCCTCGGTGACCCTGCAGCCCCCCAGTGACCGCACAGCCACCCCAGTGACTCCACAGACTTCCCCAGCCCCGCATGTACCTACAGCCCCCACCCCGTCCCGGTGGGACGGGACAGTCCCACAGCCCATCCCCCCCACGAGGCAACGCCAAACCGCAACTTCCCCAGCGCGGCCTCTACCCACGCCCCTGTCAGCCCAGGGCACACGGGGCAGGGGGGGGCCAGGCCCCCAGCAGCTGCAGGGGGCTCCGGACCACCCCTCAAACCCTCAGGGCTTGCTCAGCAGCTTCTGCCCTACAGCTCGAGCAGTTCCAGGGGAGTCCCAGGGACAAAAACCCTGCAGCAGCTGCCGGCGGGGTGTCCCCTCCCCTCCCTTCCAAATACGAGAAATCCAAACACGAAACAAGAGGACCGAGAGGACTATCCCCTCTGTCACCGCCACACCCACATCCGGACAGGCCACCCGGGAACATCTGGAGCAGCCGAGACGCGGCCCCCACGAGCTCCAGGGGGTGCGAGGGGTCACTGTCACCCCAGGGACCCCCGAGTCCGGCTGTCCTCGCGGAGCCGCTCAGCGAGGGAGGTATGGACCAGTCCTTCCCCATCCCCGGATCCGCTGACTGCCAGCCAGAGTCCCCTCGGCAGCGCCCTGGGCCCGTGCCCCAACCCCAGCCCGGGCCGGGACCACCCAGGACCCGCCGGTGCCGCTGCCCCCAGCCCCGGGACAGTCCGGGCGGCATCCCTGACCCTGTCTCGGTGCCTCCGGTCCCATTCCCGCCCCGAACGGGTGTCCCTGGCCCCTGTAGGGACGCCCGGCCGTGTTCCAGTCCCCAGCAGCCCCCAGACGCTCCACAGTAGGGAGCACAGGCCGGTGCCCCGGGCCCGGTACAGCCCCTGGCCGGTGCTCCCGGTCCCCGTAGGAGCCCCCGCACGGCATTCTTGACCCGCAGCCGGTGCCCCTCTCCTCGGCAGCCCCATGGTGGGTGCGCCGGTCCCGGTAGGACCCGCAGGACGCTGTCCGCCTCCCCCCCACCCAGCCGTTGTCCCCGGTGTCGCGGCGCACCTGCCCGGCCAGCACGGGCTCGGCCAGGATCTCGAGGCCGTACTTGAGCTCGCTGAGCTCCTGCAGGTTGAGCGCGGCCCGGGCCCCGCGGAGGGGCCACCCTGGGCCAAGCAGCGCCAGCAGTGCCAGCACCGCCACCGGCCCCAGGCCCCGCCGCGCCGCCATCTTCCCCCCGCCGCCGCTTCCGCTTCCGCCCGCACCTCCCCGTGCCCGCCCCGGCCCCTCTGCTTCGGGCTGCGATTGGTCTGAATGCCTGCTTGTCAACTACGAGCGCGGCTCTGATTGGTCAGCGGGAGGCGATGACGCCTACCGTTGTGAGGCCGCGGGGGCGAGGCGGTTGCGAGGCAGGGGCCGCGGTGATTGGCTGGAGCCCGCGCCGGCGGCAGCCAATGGCGAAGCGGGGCGCGGCCGACCGCGATGACGGAGCGCATGGAGGCTCCCCATTGGCAGAGCGGGATGCAGGCGATCCCCGCGCGCTGATTGGCGGAGGGCACAGAGCATCCCGGGGGGGGGGTCACGTGATTACCGGAGCCGGGAGGGGGCACCGGGCCCCGCTCCTGGGGGAGGCCCCGGCCCAGGGGGAGGGGCGTGCGTGAGACCGAGCGAGCGAGGCCGCCTCCAGCATCCTGCCTGCCCCTCTGCTCCCCCAATCCCCTCCCGACCCCGCCCAAACCTCCTCCAGCTCCCCCGGGACTCCTCAGTCCCCCACGGACCCCTCAGCACTCCTTCAACCGCCTGGCAACACCACGAATCTCCCCAGCCCCCCCTCCCCGGCTCCGCAGCCTCCCCAGCTCCGAGCCCCCGCCCCCTCCCGGTCCAGGCAGAGCTCAGACCGAGCCCCCCCCACCCCCCGCTCAATGGGGCCGTTGTGCTCCCCACGCGTGGGCACAAAGCGCGGCCTGTGGCAGCCGCGCCGCGGGGGCTGATCCTTGCCCCCCCCGTCCTAGCCCCGAGCCCCGGGGGCTGATCCTTGCCCCCCCTTCCCAGCCGCGAGCCCCGGCAGCCCCGAGGCCGCGGTGGCAGCGGCCGCCCGCCCCTCCCCGCTTTTTGCACCCCCCCCTCCCCCCCTCCGCCTTTCCCCCCGCAGCCTCGCCCCGCCCCTCCCGGGGCTGCGGCGGTGCCGTTGCACACCGGGGCCGCCGGGGGCGCCCTCGCCGCCCGCTCCGGTGCCGGTGCCGGTGCCGCTTGCGGCCGCGGAGCGCCGGGAGCCGCCAGCGGAGCCAGGTAGGGATGGGGGCCCGCTCTTGTCGCGGCGTGTCGCGATGAGGGATGGCACCTGCCACTGCCCCACGGCTGCGACATCGCCGTCTCTTCCCCCAGACATCCCCAAATCCCCGCATCCCGCGGCTCCCCCCGGGCCGCCGGGCCCCCCTGAAACCCTCCGGCCCCCCCAGCATCCCCCGCATCCTCCATCCACGCTGCCCCCTCCCCCGCCGCCCGGACACTCCCAGCCCCCCTCCCTCCGCATCCCCCGGGCCTCCCGCCCCTGCCAGCCCCCCGAGCCTCCCTCCAACATCTCCCAGGCCCTTCCCTGCCCCCTCCGTGCCCCCAAACACCCCCAGTCCCTCCCGACGTCTCCCCCGAACCCTGCCTTTGCCTGAGCCCCTCATCCTCGGGGAGAGCCCCCGGGGAGGTCTGGGGCGTCCTCCGGCTGCAGCCACATCCCTGGGGGCTGGGAGGGCCCAGGATACCGGGGCTGTGGGTCCCTCCCGCCCCTGACACTTTCTCCGTGTCCCCAGGCCGCTGCTGTGGGGGGCAGAGCCATGAGTGTGGGCTGAGCCCCCCTCGCTGGGACCTGCGCCCACCCCGAGGTGAGGGCACTGGGAGCACTGGGGAGAACTGGGGGCGGGATGGAGGGGGTGCCACGCGAGCACAGCAGAACTAGGAAACTGTGGGGTGGGAGCACCAGGGCACTGGTTTGAACTGGGAAACTGGGAGTGCTGGAAAACACTGGGAGGCAGCACAGGGATGAAGGGATGGTGCACTGCACTGGCGGCACTGGTTTGCACTGGGTTTCACTGGGAGGTGCTGTGAGCACTGGTTTGCACGGGGTGTCACTGGGAGGTGCTGTGGGCACTGGTTTGCACTGGGTGTCACTGGGAGGTGCCGTGGGTACTGGTTTGCACTGGGTGTCGCTGGGAGGTGCCGTGGGCACTGGTTTGCACTGGGTGTCACTGGGAGGTGCTGTGGGCACTGGTTTGCACTGGGTGTCACTGGGAGGTGCCGTGGGCACTGGTTTGCACTGGGATGCTGGGTGGCAGCAGGAGGCGCTGGGGGTTCTGGGTTGTACTGGGTTGTACTGGCTTGTACTGGGGGCACTGCTGCCGTTGGCCTCCCTAGGCACTGGGGGCACTGGGAGGTGTTGGGATGGGCCGGGGGGCACTGGGAGGCACTGGGGTGACACTGGGGGGTGTTGGGATGCACCGGGGGGCACCGGGGTGACAGTGTCCCCCTCCAGGCAGGATGCGGGGGGCGCAGCGGGCGCTGTGCCTGCTGCTGGTGGCCTCGGCCTCGCTGGCCGCGCTGTACCTGCACCTGTGGGCACCCAAGGGTCCCCCCAGTGTGGACCTGCGCCGCCCCTCCCCCGAGCGGCTGCCACCCCCTCTGCCCCCCCCCGCCCGCTCCTATCCCCACGTGCCCTTCCGCCTCAAGGAGGAAGTCATGGAGTAAGGACGGGGCATGAGGGTACCCGGGGGGGTGGTGGGGGGAGGTGGGGGGCACCTATGGGGTGGGGCTACCCAAGGGTGGGGGTACCCAAGGGTGGGGGTACCTTCAGGGGGTCACTCGCGGGTTGGGGGCTGGGAATCGCGGCAGGGTTGGGCTACCCAGGAATGGGGGTACTCGGGGCTGAGGGCACCCCAGGATGGGGCTGTGGCTCCTGGGGCAGGGGCACCCATGGGTTGGGGCACCCAGAAGTGGGGGCACTCCAAGGTCGGGTGCTGGGGCACCAGGGGAGGGGCGATGAGGTGGCGGCAGAGGGTGACAAAGATGGTGCCAAAGTGGGGTCAGGGCTGCCGTGGGTGGCGGCAGGTGGTGCCTGGAAGGTGGCAGCAGGTGCCGGAGTGGTGGCACACTGGGACAGGCAGTGACAGGAGTGGCAGGGTGGTGGCACATGGGGACAGGCAGTGTCAGGAGTGGCAGGGTGGTGGCACATGGGGACAGGCAGTGACAGGAGGTGTCAGGGCGGTGGCACACGGGGACAGGCAGTGACGGGAGGTGGCAGGGCGGTGTCAGGGCGGTATCAGGGCGGTGGCACACAGGGACAGGCAGTGACAGGAGTGGCAGGGCGGTGGCACACAGGGACAGGCAGTGACGGGAGGTGGCAGGGCGGTGGCACACGGGGACAGGCAGTGACAGGAGTGGCAGGGCGGTGGCACACGGGGACAGGCAGTGACGGGAAGTGTCAGGGCGGTGCCAGGGCGGT